TCAGATAATGTTGCTAGCCTCAGGCATTTTGAGTGAATGGACAAGAACTGGCAATGGCAAGTGACTCTGCACTTGATGAAAAGCAGAGACAAATTACCTAGTGGACTAGATGCAGAGGGAGGTGTGTAATCAGCCATGTTTCCTCAAGGAATGAGGATGAAACAGAATGACGAGAATAATGCTGTGATCCGGTGCATGCCAAAAGAAGTGTGATTGGCTCAGTCCTCACTGCTTATAATGTGCTGATGAAGCTCATCTTTCTGGGTTTGGTTCCTTAACAGAGCTTTGGGTATATTTGTTATGCATTTGTATATTTGTTGCATTCATAAATTCAAATCCAAAAAAAGCATAGCTTACTGATAAATGAATAAAAGATTGGAGGAATTACAGAATCAGGTAAAGGTAACAAGGAGACAATGCACAAAAAAGGCTTCTCAGTGTTTACAGTATATCCACGGGCTCGGTCTGTTTCCTCTATTTATGCTAAGTATACACCACCAAATTAGAGTTGATAGACTTGACTTCTCACAGTACATGAATTTCTAGCATTACATACTCAATGACTTTCACAACCCATAAATAAAAAAGTTTAGTTTTTTTCTTAGTTCATACAAAACCTGACTGTAGGGATGGGTGATATGGACTTAAAGTTTTGTCACAATTTTTTGTGGTACTATTGTGATAACAATAAAAGTGACGGTAAGTACTATGTATGTCTTCCTTTCGTATGGCGGCCACAGCCATACAGTCACAATCACAAATATGTTTAGAATATGTATTTTTAGGACATCAGTTGGATAAAGAAATATGATTTGTAACATTAAGTTGCAACAGTTCCAAAACAGAAACTGCAATTAATCACGCTTTCAAATATGTATTGATAATCTCAAAATAGTAAAACTAACACAAACTATACAGAAAATTCTGTTTCTTAAACATCATTAATGGAAATTTATTGTGACAATGATAAATCTAAATTCTTATGATAAAAAATGTATCTGACTCTTATCTGACTGGACGTTGTTGTAACTATAACTAGCGTTTTGGCTTTTAGTAGTCAAATAAAGAGTAGACCTTCTTTTTCATCATGTTCAATAGCTATCACTTAACACTAGTCTCAAGTGGGTCAAAGTTGTCCTTGCCCATTTGTGCTTTAAGGTCTAACTCAACCGCATGCTTGAATCAGAGTGAGGTATCGTGGGATTCCTGTGACTGGAAAACTGCTCGGCATTAACTTATCAATGTCAGCGGCTTATCAGCTCTGGCATTCTTACCACACTCTGCCAGAGCATCTGGCACACAGGCAAGCAGTAAGACTGTCAGGCCAACCTGTTCTTTCTGGTTCCATTTTTCTCCTCTCTCATTGTTTCTTAGGTGCTCTGGGTTCCTTTTTGCTGCCAAACATTTGCTCAACTCAAGTGCCACCTCTTCATCACCACTCTGTTCTTCAGGGAGACCCTGTGCTGCCTCCCAGCTTAACCACTCTGACTAAAATGTCCTTCTTCAAAATGGTCTCCAGTGTCAAGAGCTCCTTCTGTCAATTTATTTCCTAAAGTAAGAATTACTTTTACTGAACTTTGTTTTTTGTTTTTTTTACAGTACCTGTCCTTTTGATTGTCACTTCATTCTATTTAAAATATAAGTGGTCAACATTTGAACTCAAATGTATAAGAAATTACAAAAAAAATTCAAAGATGAAGAAAAAGAATCCCTTTATTAATTTTAAAACCCCACATGTCTGTATTACTTTTAAACAAGAAATACTAAAATAAACACAATTTTTAGACATAATTCAGCAAATATATTTAATCTTTCTACCAAAGAAAGACTAAGACAAGGCTGGTTAAGCTGAAAAAAAGATATGTTCAAAGGAATTTGGAGATGTCATTGTTGATATTTTTCCATGTTAATATTTGTTTTTTAATCATCATCAATCTATAAAGCGCCAGCTGCAAAAACATTCACTGCAGCCATAACTATGATGCATGTCAAAAAAATAAGGCTCTTCTTTTTTCAGAAAGATGAAACAGGAAAGTCAGCGTATAATTTACTTTTGAGAATATTACCATTTTTATTACATTTTGTTCTATTCAACAAGAAAAGGTATTAACTTGTCTCTATTGTCAAACACAACACCCCCTACTGCAAAATCAGCTTTGAATTGATACAGTTTGTTTGCTTCTCAGCTCTGTAATAATCATAACAGAAACGTTCTGCACTAAAAAAACAAGTGTGGATAAATCTCAGCAGAATAGACCATTCTAGTGTAAAAGTGAATGAGGATATTTTGTTTTGGAATTGTAACCAAAATGTAATTTTATGTATATAGACAATTAAATGACTTCCAACAGTAATGAAGTAAAATAATAAGTGTCCTTTAACAAACTATTGTGGAAAAAAAATGGAACAAATAAAGCAGAAATTTGATCTGCATTGACTATGGGTGTGTTAAATTAAAACAAAAGTTACATTTCTGCTATAAAATTGATGTGTTCTTGGGAAAAAATGGGGAAGAAAAAGATTGTTGTCCAAGTACAGGGAGATTTTATGGAGATCAGGAGAATAAAATATCATTGACATAAAGAAAGGGACATAGGAATGTTTCATTGCTATTAAGAGACAGGGAAAAGGATGCTATTTGCATAAAAAAAACTAACCATCTCACCCACACACAAACACCTACCCATGTGCTTTTAAAAACATTTATATCTTGCGTAAATATCAATCTGACACTTGCCCTGCATGTGCCATATTCTTATTTTACAACAATTTCAAATATCTTTAAAAGAAGAAAATACAACCCTTGCTTGTTTGAACTTGAACACCAGACATCTTTTAGACTTCAGTTACATGCAAGGAATGTTTCCTGCCACTTTGTTATCTCTCAAGGACTAATCTATGTATTTACACTTGAATCACAGCTGCTTCCAGTTATGCAAAATAATGCTAAGAAAATGGGAGATTGATGTCAAAGTGAAAGCCAGCATTTATGTCGTGCCAAAAGGGACAAAATCTTACTAAATCATTAATTAAATGTACCATAAAATAAATACATTTTTAACTCAATGCTTAAATAATTTATTCATTTATTAAGTATGCCATTAAATAATTGAAATGCAAACTTTTAATAGCTGATACAGATCAACAATTAAATGTGCATTTAATTTTTTCATGGTTTCTATTCCTGCAGTGTCAGCATGAAATAATTGTATCTTTCAAACTCGCCCATCAAAGTCAAAAGGCAGGACCATGGGAGGGATAACACCGATCAGTGTCGGTTCTCTGTATGAACCCACACGCCTCTAAGTCCAGACACTTTCATGACATAAATTTCCCAACTGTTAGACAATAAAGGATATTAGTATTCTGTTCCACTAGTTTGTCCTGATTCTTTGAAAATCATGGCAGCCCTTGTAATAGCGGATTTTTAATGAGCTTTCCTGTGAGTTCGTTGGAGAGATTCAACAATTAGCGGACAACACAGAAGCAAGAGATTGTCATCCACACTATGTGGTAAAAAGTCAAAGACTTGAGTGAATGCCACAAAGCTCAAGTTGGCTTCAGGCTACCGAATATATTGCGGTTTAACACATCAATGTTAGCTCTGCCCATAACCCGTCAACTTGGTGGGCGAGTGTGACCGAAAAAAATCAAACCATGGTGACAATGCAGGAACGGGAACCATGAAATAATTGAATACACATTTATTTAATTATCTGCATTGGCTATTGTAAGTTTTCATTTTATTGATTTAACAACATATTTACTAAATAAATAAATAATTGTCTATTGAATAAATTATTAAGACATTTAATTAAACATTTATTTACTTCATGGTACATTTAATGATTTAATGATGTGTTTCTTAATTTATTTAATTCCATCCAATCAGGACCTTTGAGGCTGTTCAAAAACACACATGCACATAATTGTACTAATAAACACAGCTACATTCTTTATTTTCTGTAGTAGGCTAAATACCTGTTGTGAGTAAATCTTGTTTTGTTTTTTTTTTCTTTGTAGGTATATAACTCAAACCCTGTGTCCCCATAAGTATGCAGGTGCAGGTAGAATCCAGCTGATATTTTGAGAGTTTTCTCTCACTTTACTACCCATGTGCTGTGGTGTGGGGGTGATGTCATTTTTTTGTGTGCAGTCATGTTTCCATGTTTCTAAGTGTGTACACCATTCTGTTTCAGTGCTGCTTACTCTCCCAAAGGGACTGTAGGATTGTCCAGATAAATCATCTTCTGTTGGGCAGCCAAACCACACAGAAGATCGGGGGAAAAAATGCAAGTAAGGAACACAATGTGGGGAAAAAAGTTTAATGAAGTTCAAATGATAAAAATGGGATCATTATGGAAGAATGCAAACTACAACATATTCTAGGTTTGAATGTTGTAGCTAAAATGAAAAGCTAAATTTTCCTTGTTCTTACTGCTGTTTCTGATCACAACTGCCAAAGCAACAGTAGAGCCAGAATTATGTGTGAGGGGAGATGGATTGCCAGCTATATTTTTGACCCCGTGGGTAAAAGGAACAGGACTGAACTGTTGCTTCTTGGCTTCTTGACCCCTCCGACTGTTCTCCGTTTTTCTACTTCTCCTCTACTTGCAGTCAGTTTATGTTATCTATCTATTTAACCACAAATACTTACAGTAATAGACAGCTGTCGCAGGTGTTTATCTCAATACTACTGTGCTAAAGATGGGTAAGATTTCTCTACTTTGGTTGAAAAAAGGACTTTTCAGACTAGATTTTAACAAAGCCTTTTACAACTGTCATTTCTCCAAACATGAGAAATAACACAGTGTTTATGGTCTTCTACACTAATACACTAACTCTATTGTCATGTCATTGCAGACTGGCAGACTGCAGATGATGAGAAGGGAAGCTGTGCATTTGTAATCCCTGTATCAGATATGTTTAAATATGTAATGAGAAGCAAGAATAACATTGAGTAAAAACGCTTTTTGCTTTAAGTTAAAAGTGAGACTCACCGGACGGTTGATTGATACACGAGATCTTCACGCCTGCGGTAGTCTTCCATATGAGAGTAATTTGTATTAAACATGGCATCATAGGTGAAGATTTTCTGCTTGATTGTACCTCCATCTGTGACCTGTACAGAATAGAAAACCCATTATCAGAGCCGTAGGTATCCATAAAAGCCATATGAATACTTTTATTTCTTAGTCTGCAGACCAGTTTGCACTCTGCTTTCTTTTGTATATTAGAAGCAGACACACTGATATAACACATTCTAATAGTAACCAAGGTAAAACATCAAAACCCTGCTGATATGGTAACATCACAGAGAAGGTCTCTCATCCCCCCACCAGTCTATGTCCAGAAACATGGCTAAAATATAATGAGGACTGACACAGTGCAGTGTTCTGTATGTGTCAAACCTTGAAGCAGTCTGCGTTCCACAGATGTAATGGCATGTAACAAGATTCTACAGAGGTGGATGTTCAAAACACTGGTCTCATCTCTTCCTTTTTTAAGCATTGTATCTGATGAGAGAAGTTTTTCTTCCCTTTCTAATATTCAAAGGAGTGCTTAAGTCACTTAGCATTTGAATGAATAAGATTTCTCCTCTCCCCAGAAGCTTCAACATCCATAAAGGAAAACTAGTGACAGGATTTTAATGGAGCCACTAACACTGCTTTGAAGATGAAAATTGTTGGTGGGCCAGGGATTCCTTATTTGATGCTGTCGTTCTGATCCAATCAAATCCCCCAAGCAGGTAAACAATGTCAAAGCATTTCAGGATTAGTCCTTCTATACATTTCCACATGAAGCATTAAAGCTAAATTGTATTTATAAAAGCGAGTGATTGTTCTCTTTGAAAGTAGGGTATCTATTATAGCTGCTTGCCTCTGAAAAACAAACCTGCTTCTTTGGCATTGCCCATGAAATATGAAACTGTATTTTAACTGTAAATTTAAATCTTGGCAAAACCATAGTGAATTCTCATGGAGCAAAGGTGTTCACAAAGCTGTTTTTCTGACTGTTTTCTTCATCTGTTTTGCCCCTTCTAGTTGTTTTTATTCTATGCTGGATTCAGAAAGCAGATCTAGGTAAAAATGCACAATACAGGGGCAAACATACAAAATCAGGTGATAGTTGTGCTCCATTTAGCCAGAAACATAGTATATATAGTAGCGAACCACAAAGAAAGAAATGTTTTGTTTGTTCAGAGTCAACATTTTCCGTATAAATCTAAAATCTAAATCACTGTTTTGCAATTATAGAAGAATAAAAACTTTGACAAAACACCTACTGTATTTTCCGGAGTATATAGCGCACCTCACTATAAGCCGCAACTATAAAGTAAAAACAACAACAAAAAAACACTGGAAATATACACATATATGCCGCACCCATCAAGCACAGTGTGCTGCTGGTGCTCACGCATTTAGAAATGAACACATTGGCAGATCATAAAAGAAGTGACATGGAGCTATTTCGGCTTTCATTTCATAGTAGTTGTTAATGATAAAACAATAATTTATTTAGTTGGGTTATTTTTTTTCCTAATTGTCTTTTTTTTTATTTATGGTTCAAAGTGTGGGAAAACAGTACCGTAAAATACAGTGCTTCTGAGCACTAAAATACATACTGCTGTATAAGCCTCGCCAAGCTGGACAGAAATTCCTCCATGCATCTCTGCTGTTTGGTACACATAAATCTTCTTCACACAGCTAAATTATTTGTGCTCTGTTTATTAACATCTACATATGAAGCATCACCTCCAAAGTCTTAAGGTTATGATTCTATAATTAAAATGGAGAGACACAATTTTAAGCACAATTAAGATAATTTATTCGATTAGAATAATTACTGGCAAAGATAACAAACAAGTCTCAGAGTCGAGAATGAATTGTGCTTTCTGCAACATCCCTGTACATTTTTTTTTATAAATCTAACCTGGCAGCAGCACATATTTTTTCTCATTTTTTTCAAAATTTACTACCAATTGTTTGCCCCCTGCAAACAATTTTTTCCCTAGATCTGCATCACACAATCTTCAAAAACGGCAAACATTTTGGTCTAGCTGTAAGTCACATAAATTAATCACATAAATTAAAAACACACACAATCACGCATACACACGCAGGTGAGCTTTCCTTAAGTGCATGCATATGACCTAATTACAATATGAGTAAGCTGCATAAATGCACAAATCTGCCCAATGCATAGTGTAGCTATTTTAGGTGCAGTTCTACCTTTGCATTTTGTTTCATATGTATACAAAAATCTTAGACATGTTGACATTTAGGACCTGCAAGTACTTTTGTGAAAGTGTTCCTCAGTTTCGATATACATCAGCAATGTAAAATCCAAGAAAGTATGTATTTTTATTTTGAGAGGAAACATAACAAGCAAAACGAATTTGAAAAATTTTGTTTGATAATTACCCAAACTTGAGCAATTACTCCATTTACCACAGTGATCATTTCAGAAACCTCCTCAAAATAACCAGTAATCATTCAAGCAACAGGTGGATCATATTTTGTTAAGCTGCTCACATACAATACAAAACATTGGTTTTCTAAAGCATCCAGAATATAAAACTGTGTGTGTGTGCATGTATGTATTTAGACAGCCTCAGACAGTTCTTCTGCAAAGTATCTTCTCATCATCTATACCCCTTTAATCTTTTAATGGTTTTACCTCTTAATAAAGACTGACCTATAAACTTATGTGTAATAAATCTGAAAGAATCTGCACATCACTGAATATCTCCCCAAGAGAACCTGGTTGCGGTAAAAAGCTCTGAGTAAGAAAAATAAAACACAAAAGGAGAAAAAGAGGGTGTGAAAAAAGAGACCGAAACAGTGCCAAAATGGCTGTACAAGTGGGAGATGAAATATCTTTTGATTGCAGAAAAGCACTGTTAGGGAAGGAAAGCTTAGCAACAACTGCATTGTTGAATTCAACCCATGTAATGCATATAAGGAATACAGACACCAATCCTCCCCTGTGCTTGGCCATCTGGAGATATCAAAAGGCAAGCGTGAATGGCAGAGAATTAGCCACCCTTTCCTTGTTGGCTTTGTGGCAGAGAGTGGATGTTGGCAAAGGGAATAGTTGTGAGGCAAAAGAAAGGACCATGACAGGTAGCTGACAATGGGGTGGCTTTCAAGATACTCAAAACAGGATGCCATGCTTGTCCAGGTCTTTAAAGATGGCTGGTTCTCTCAGCAGTTAACTTGCAACGTTCCTAGCCGTCCAGGAAAACTGCTCTTATAACGATGGCTCCTATTATTGGGGTCGCATTAGGAATGGGACTCAGGGGTTAAATAAAGAAATCCTCTTCATGGGGTCTGGGCCAGGCCTATTTATATGTTGCATGCAGCAGCCAGTGAGGAAATACAGCTTACACACTGCAAGCATGCTAGAACAGATTTGATCTGAATCCTACTCTGTGGTTTTAAACAAAGCCAAGAAAATAACATGGCTTAACACATAATTTTCAGAGAAGTTAAGAAGACAGTAAATGTAATATTTATTCTATTTCTAAAAAATATGTGTGTCTGAAGACAAGGATAACTGAGTAAAAACAAAATGCAGTTTTCAAAAGATGAATACATCTATTTATTCGAGGGGGAAAAAAAATAATTCAAACCAACTTGATCCTATATCCAGCTTCATCCTGGCAAACGCTAACAAAAAAATATGTTATGCAAACACACCAGTCGAAATATTCTGATCAGATTCAGTTCAATTGGAATTAATTTGTGATCTGTATGAGAGGAGTGGTTTATGCTGATGTAAACACTTATAATGATCATGTCAGTCTGACTGTGGCAAATTAACCTGACTGCACACGTGAGCCCAACGTCAATGTGACATATTTCTGTCTGCAGTGGCTAGACGTTATTTGAGGGAAGCAAAACCAATCTGTTGGTCTCTCATCCTGAAATGCTTCTAGACCAACAGCATACGTTACTTGGGTTGTAGCTTAACTAGGGAGTGAGTAACATCTTAGCCATGATTAGAGCCTGCATGGTTCATTCTGGACAGAAGACATAATAATCACACAACTGCATTTGTTTATTTTTACATTCAGCACAGACTGAAGTACACTTTCTTTTTATGATGTTTTTATTAAAACACCATGAGTTGCCATTTCCATTCATATTAATAAGTACACATAATGACAGAACAATAATTAATTTAAAGAAATCAGTTGCAAGTCATTCTTTAGTCTGCCATTGAATCTTTTGACAAGATAATGGTCCAAAGTACAACTGCTGGTTGGTCATAAACCTATGGAAGGACACAAAATATGTGCTGTGGAGTACCTCTCAAGGAGCCTAGTTCTCACTCCCATTGACAATGTGTGGTGGGTGATAAGGTCAATGTTCAAACAATCTAGATGAGCTGGAACCTTTTTGCCATGGAAGAGGTAGCTTGTACACCTCAAGAGACATTTTACAATCTGGTAAAGAACTACAGAGGGAGGCTGTTGTCAGTTGCAAGACAGAGAGCCCACTCCATTGACCATTAAATATCATGAAGGATAATCATTTTTAGCCTGTCAGTTTTAAAATAACCATCAATCAAATATTGTGGAGATTTTGTCTTTGCATTGAACTGCTTTTATCATGGTAATTTCTATGGCAATATCAAAAATTCTGCATGATTTCATCATGGGGGGCACTGATTCTGACTTTAACTATATGTACCCCTTAACCAATAACTGGCTGTGACACTCCTGTATTACTTATTTATTTGGAAAATCCAAGTAAAAAAGTCCTGGTGTTGATCCTGTTCTTTTCTTTATTTTCCCAAAGATTCAATTATAAATGTATGCATATAAAGTAGATCCTTTGAAGGGCAATAGTGCTCAAAATACCAAAAGTATGATCAAATATTTCTCCAACCTACGTGGAGATGAAATGCAATATACATTTTTTAACAGAAAATGTATATTGTATTATGATAATCTGCTTTTACTTTTATTACTTGTACAGCGAGGCAGTGGGGTGACTAAATGCAATTGCACAGTTAATTGAATGGGTGGAAACAGTAAAAGTTTTTTAGATGTGTTCATCCAGATGGTATCAAATTACAAGTAAACAATAAAAAAATAACATCCTTATACTACAA